TGGCACCAGGAGCCGGGGATTGAACCCACAACCTTCCGATTAAGCCACAGCCTCTGAGCTACAGCCACCTACTAGAACAACTTATCTTTACTTATCATTGGAAAAGTCTCTGTTTTAATTTAGCTGTGGCATTTTGGTAGGCCTTGTGTGTCTCTTCAGAGAACCAGATTCCATTGCAAGCCGGTCTTTTGGGGGTTAATATTCTCAATTTTATCTAACCTGGATGAGTTAATATCCAAAAATTAAAAGTCATTTATAACTTGTATACTACATTTTGATTAAATTTGACAACTTTTAGGGCAACAAAATGATAAATAATTAAGGCTTCTTGGTAGTGTGGAGAAGGCTTCAGGAAACACCATGGTATTAACAGATGTCTGCAAAGGGGTGAAACCACTTTAAAAAAGTTTTTCAGTTTTTCCATTGGTAAAATTGGGCTTAGATTTGGAGCGTTATAAGCCCCCTTCCCCACAAGCGAGCATGACATGGTTGGTATCAATGGATGCGTTAGTCATCTAGTTTCAAATGATACCAGTAGCTTCACAAGCTTTATAATAGAGCCCGCTACAGCTTTTGAAAGACAGTGCAGAGTTGCAGAGGTGAGAATAACTGGGTGGGACTTTAGGTGGCCCTCCCCTCTGGACGCATCCCTGGCAAAACAAACAATAGTTTGACCTTTTCAGGCCTCTGATAGAAGGTGAAAATCTTCCTTATTAATTTACAGGCTACGGCAGTAGAGCAAGTGCAGACACTCCACTGAGTGGTTACAGTGCATACCACATAACCACAATGTTCCTGCCGACGACCTTTGGTGCACGTCATACCTCCACTCTCACCCCACACTTCCTGTCTGCAGGGTGAGAACTACAGGGGCTTGGACATGAGCTCCCCTGAAAACATGATCTGTTAAATTTTTTTTTTTTGGGGGGGGGGCTCTAAAATATTGACAATATGCTATTTTGGCCATGCATTTCTATATTTCTCTATCTTCATCTTGGATAATGATGGAGATGAAAATTAAGTTGGGCAATTGTTATTATGTAAGATTCATGGTGATCTAATTCACTTAAGATACAGGCACCTCACCATGGAGGATTGGTGGCTCAGTATAATAAACTTGTAACACTCATTGTTAAAAAAAAGATTTCTTTCTCTGTGCGTCCATAAGATAAAATGAGCTCCCTCGGAAGTCATTGTATTTCATAGTAGTTTACACACTGCCTGTCTTCTTTTACAGTCACATAAAGGTAGTGTTTCTACTACTTCATTTCATTGATTTCATGGGGAATCTGACCCAGTGGCAGGCATTAAGAATAACTATATAGAAACAGCCAATCTCCACTCTTGTTTGTATGTAGGTCACATAGAGGCCTCAGTATTACAGGTAAAATTATAAACACATGTACAGTGCAGTACCTTTAAACAAAACAAAGGATTCAGTGACATGATTGTGCCTCTCTGAGGATGTGGTAAATAGGGGGCAACAAAACTTCCTTCCAAACAAGCTGTCACTAGAAGATGGAAAGAACATTACATATCTTTACTCTAGTGGTAAAGCCATACAATTCTTTCCTAAGCAAATATTTTTAAATATACCTAATGACTCCCCACAGCCAATTTTAGCTATGGCAATAAAATATACTTCTCATGTGACCTTCAAAGTTATATAACAAAACCACTGGTAGTTTTATAAACCAAAACCAGCTTTTGTGCAGGACAGACTCTGTTGACACCCTTGTATGAGACTTTGCTTAACACAAATTCAGTAGGTGCATTATATTTAGAGTCTGCCATTACCAAGCTATGGGCCTTACAGATTTACATGATAGTAATCAAACTGTAGGTGTGCAGAGCAGCAGGTCTAAAAGATTCCATACCCTGACCTTGATATAGCAACATATACCAAAGCCCCCGTCCCATCAGAAATGTGTTTTTTCTTCTTGTTCCTGCAGTGTGAAGGGTCAGTGTACTTTGCGGCCATTGGATTTTTTACTTTTGAAATGAGAAAATCAAAGCTGGGAAACAAGCTGTTTCGACCATTTAAATTAAAAAATTACATTTCAGAACAAAAATCTGCGACATCACAAATAGTTTGGAAGTCAGTCCTGGTCCAGTATGAAACTTCTACAGTGTGATGTAGAAACATGAAGCCCCCAGTGCACATACACTAGAGGTAGAAGGAGTAGATTACTTTTTAAGGATTTTAATGTGGAAATTATACTTTTTTTGCAGAAAACTAAAACATATCAGGCACACATTGTTCCAAGCAGACTATTTGTATATGTGTCTTAATACATGTCTGGAGGGAATATAATTATTACTTTGAATTCCTTATCTGCTCATTTTTAACATTGTAATCTCTTTTCTAACTCCTGACGTTGTGTGTCTTCAGAGAACCAGTTCCTTGGTAAGTGGCTCAGATTGTAATAGTTCTGTGCTTCCTGAATGGAGTCATGCCAGTTTTCACTAAACAATTCAGACTTTACAGTGATTGTAAGACTAAAAACTGTCTCAGGGTAATGTATGTGTTGCCTGTTGTCTAGTTTATTGTTATATAATCTTGCACTTATTGGTGTATGATTGATTTTGGATTGTTTGCTTAGATACTTCTGTAACAACTGTAACAAGTAGCTGCTCATGAGGTGTGTTCAAGTGCATTCAACACTGATGGAAACAACAAAACTCTACGGTGCAGTGTGTGCTTGTAATGAAGGAACCAATTGAATCTGCCCCTTTCAGTGTAATTCTGTACAATACATTCCAGACATTCTGTATCTGTTACAAGGCAGATTGTTTACTTCCATAAGCATTCCACGAGAAACTGGATAATCATAAATCTTCATCACATCTGCACAAGCATGCTGCAGGAAATGTTAAATGAACCAACCCTAGGGCATCGAATGATTACTAATCATGTAATTAAGCTACGTGTTGAATATTTGTCCCCATCTCACATTGCACATAGTAATAACATGTGTAATAGCATGTCTGTGACAGTAAAACTTTCGCATTGGAGTACATGTGACTTACACTCTGTTTGTTTGAATCGTACACCTGCAGTCCACCTGGGACCTAATAACTTCTCATTCATACTGAGCAACAGTTCTCACTCCTCTTTTAATTGCAGCCAAACAACTCGAGGTGGAGCTCAGCAAGTACCATCTTGCCAAAAATAACTGAACAGTTGGATCTTAGTGTATTAAAGTTTTTTTCAGTTGCTCCAGGAACTGTGAATTGTTCAACTCAGTCTTTACTAAAATAGTTTTTAATGTCTTCATACTTGTGGCATCTAGCATTGTAATACAAGTGTCTTTCACAGTTGAGGTCATGAATACACACATAAAGAGCATTTGTTCAGGCAGCAAACAACAACCAAATCAGCGAAGCAGATAACTGGGATTAAAGATACAACCAGCTCAAACATGCTGCTGCTGTCTCTTACCCTGTATTGTGCAGTAGATTGTGTCCTAAGGAAACGTGTGTCAAGGTGAAAGCTGCTAGTAAGGCCACCGGAACTTGCGCAATAAATCAAGCTGGTTTTAAAGCGACTGAAGCATCCCTGGTATCTGGATTAGGTCAGGTATTCTGCCCCACAGCAACACTGCGAACTGTAATTCACTTGGTACTCATCCATCTCCTTTGACAACACTTAAACATTAAAGACAAAGCTCATATCAGCCCACTGTACTGTCTCTCCTCCTCTTGTGTATGGGCCTTTTGTATAGTTACTCATTTGAATTGTAAATTAATTTGTAATAATACAGGGCTTGTCTGGTCTACCGACAACTCAAGGCATTTTACAATAGGGGTGGGGCAGATGTCCCCCCCCCCCATTTACAGCTGCTATATGCACTATTTTTCAAGCCAGTTGAGATAATAGAATGTCCAGAAGGATGTAGTCCTACAGTCTACATCCTCTTTTGTATCTAATTGTTTTGCAACTGTCTTCATCATTCTGAAAGCAGAGCACAACAAACATAGAGGATCAGTCATTTTCACTCCTGCCACCTAAAAAGGGGCAAAACTTGTCTGATGTCATATTTTTTAGGTTATAAAACACAGGGGAGGAATTTGGCAAAAAAACAGTATTACTGATATTGAAACCTATGGTTGTTAAACTATGCTGGAGATTTCTAGTAATAGAATCTTTGCTCCATTGATTTTCTCTTCCAGTCACACTGAAGGGAAATGACACAAAGTTGAAGTTATATTAAAATCCTAAAAGATTTGGGCCAAAAATCCATCCGCTCCACCCCTGCTTTACACTTGTCACATTTAGCCATTCACACACATTCATACACTGAAGGCAGAGGATGCCATGCAAGGTGCCAACTGCTCATCACTGCTTATGATGATGTTAAGCTCACCCATACACACACTCACACACCGACAGCGTAGCCATGGTTCAGTATCATCTCCACTTCGACTGGGGAAGCGGAGTATCGAAACCGGTTACCCTCCAGTCACTAGCAGACTACCTGAGGCCAATACTTTTTTTCCATAGGAGGCCAATTTTAAAGGTGTAGTGTGTAGGATCTTGCAGTGCAGTTGCCAATTTGAAACCCCTTGCCTCACCCCAATGTTCCAAGTGGGACGGAGAAACTACGGTGGCCACGAAAGAAAACCAGTTTGGTTTGTCCAGTCTCGGCTATTGTAGAAACACAGCAGCTCCCTCTGTAGATGAAAAACAGCTCATGTTTTTATTGTTTGAATTAACATGCAGTTTTAACTCTTCAGACCTTTCAAAATGATTCAAATGGAACAATCTGAAAAGGCTCCTTGGTGGAACTTGACAGTGATCTGAAGACACAGGAAGCCAGCAGTCGCCACATTCCTCAGCTTGCTCGAAGGCATTTTCAGTAAACAAGTAAGTATGCATTGTGCATTTTTACAGCTAGGTGACACATTCTTTGACTGATATACTGAAGCAACAAACAATAGCAAGATGTGATGCAACCTCACTTCACTGTACTTGGGTAGAGAAAACTCAACTCAGAAGATGGATCACAAGACGTCGCTTTATTTATAACTCTACATTAAAAAATAAAGATTGATGAGTAATCATTAACATACATGGTATGTTGAAAAGCTTCACTCCCAGTGCTTAGCACTTTGTGAAACATTCAAAGTATCTATCCGGTGATTAAGTTTGTGTCTGTCTGAGACAAGCTGGCCAACAGGTTGTCTTTGACTGGAGACAGGGGCGCACCGGTCTTGCTGGGAGTCATCTTGTGGGCATCTCTGAAAAACACAAGAGGGAGTGTTTTACATCTCTTTCATTATAAACCATCTCACTGATTAAACTTACTGGCATCTCAATGCCAGTTTGTTTACATAGCTTTCCATATCAAAGCTTGAGTGAGACTATGGTCTAAAACTTTCTTTCATTGACAGTGTTTGAACAATGTGAACCATTTGGTTTCTGCTTCAGTTGGGGTCCAAAACATTCTGCTGTGATAAATAGGTTGAACAAGGTGCAAAATACATTAAGCTATTGTCTTGTAAACGGACTATGATATTATTATACATTGTAAAATGACTTAATGTGATTTTTCTTACATTTACTCACGTTACAACAGAAAGGGGAAATTTTGAAGGAAAGCAGAAATGAACTGAGGATTTATGGGCCCCTTTATAATCTGTAAATAATGCCTTTGGATCAGTTGACCTGATGGACTAAAAAGTAAAGTGACGGAGATTTCAATTTCACAACCTGGCATCCCCAAAAATGCGTTCTTATTAATGGTCTATAAATTCTGGTTTTGGTAAATTATTCAACAATTAAAGGTTATTTTATTGTCATTTACAACACAAGTCTGTAGAATGACATTTTGATTTAGTTCCCTTTATGCTACTTTAAAAAAAAAACAAAATAAAAATTGATTGAGTCCTAAAAATAAAAAAATGAAAAACACTACCAATTGTTGAGGAAGAATTTAACAGTCTCACAGCCTGAGGAAAGAAGCTGTTTTAGGTCTGGTGGCAGCAGATGGCAGCATGGTGAACAGGCTGTGGCTGGGGTCTGTTTATTAAACATTAATTACAACTTATAAAGCCTTCATAAAGGGTGACACTAATAAATTATACAGATTTTCTGTTTGCAAAGGGAGATGAATGAGATGCCTTGACTGAAGCAAGCAAAACAGAAACTTTCAACAACAACAGTATACGGAAATATTGATTCTAGGCCTTCACTACAGCAGCTAATTCAGTCCATTTTTAACGGGACAGGGGAACTCCTCATTGAAGTCACTCCTTGGGACACAGTGACACTTGAGATTTAACAGATGTATGTGGATCCGACTTCAAGGAGCAGTTGGGGACCATAACTTGGTTGCCGCTTAAAAACAAACAAAGCTTTACAGATGTGATTTCAGGTGAAGGAGGAGGGAGGAGGAGAGTTTTAGGGGCTTTGGAGACTTGCAGATGCAGATGTAGGATGAGACATCCATTAATACATCCACTGTATGCAATTTCTGTTTCCTCTTCCATAATGTTCCATGATGTAACTTGACCACTTACCTTTTAAAACCAGATTTGTTAAAGTGATTTATGACTTATTTTCAAATATACTATTCAATTACAAAGTAACCTGACTATTTCTATTTTACTTTTTGAAGCTGAAGTTCTTCCAGAGGCTGCTGATGGTGGCCTGGACACCTGGGTTGTTCTCATTATTGGGGGAGGAGGTTTTCTTTGCAGAACCCACTGACTTTTTCCTCAGTCCGCTGGCCCTGGCTGGGCCCAAAGTTCGCACCTTTGCTGCTTGACCCTGGCTGATGGACTTTGGTTTCGACAGACCTGCAACCTGGAGGGACAAAGACCATCTATAGAAGTCAAGATTAAAACACAGAGGAAAAAGCACACAATGTTTTTCTGCTATAAAAAATGTATTGAGCTTCATTATTTCTAAATTGTGAACTGAACAAAACAAATCCAAGAATGAGTACATAGTTGGGAGTCAATAATGGGAATCGAGAACTGGTTCCAGTTGAGCAGTCAGAAGCTTATAGCACCAAGCTTATCAGTTCATTTTATTGATGCCAGTATGTTTTTCTGACAGCATATGCAGCATTGCATAACAATGACTTAAAACTCTGAGAGGAAGAAACGATCCAAAACATGGTCTAATTCACAAGAAACTATAACTACTAAAACTACTTTTTGTCTTTAGACTGTTAATGCCGAAAACTTGCTAAGGTCTACTTTTTCCACACGGATAATTGATCAGGAATCATTAAGGGTACTTGCACTCAGCCCTAATAAGCAGAATCAATAATCGTATCAGTATCAATAAAATGTAAGGCCATGGTTAGCTCAGCTTAGCATAAAGGCTGGAAGCATAGGGAAACCGCTAGTCTGGCTCAGAGTTCAAAAATACACCTACCAACACCTCTAAAGCTTATTAATAAAGGATGAGTCTTGCTTGTTTATTCCATGCACAAATAGAAATGTAAATTTGTGGCTTTTGGGGGACCAACAACCTGGGTAGGCTGACACAACCCTCTTCCACAGTCTAATTGTAAAGAAACTGTGAATTCTTCTGTTAAATACTTGAAGATTCGACCAAAAATCTGCAAAATGTTGGATGTCTCTCTGGCTCAAACCCACCTTTGATCTCAGCACAGCTGATTTCTCATCTGCTTCTGGCGAGTGTGAGGGAATCAAATTAATTGCCTGAGGAAGCACATGAAAAGACACGTAAGAACATAGCCTTCTGCACACCCACACATGTCATGAAACTCAGATGATGGAGTATGTGTGAAGGCTGACCCAACCACAAGGGATGTACAAATATTTATAAAGGCGGTGAAGATTTGTGCAAACGTACAGACGCAGCATCCCCCTGGTAGGAGGAAGGGAAGCTGTAGGTGGGGGCTTCCTCTTTGTGGCAGGAAGTGAGGTAAGGCTGGGACTGGGTGAAGTAGGCGCTATCCTGGGACAGAGGGGAGTCTGGGAGGTCATCCTTGTCCTCTGGGTTTTCGTCAGTAGAAGATGGACGTGGGGGTAACCTGTCTCCAGGGGATCTGTGTGTTTTTGTAGAAGAGGAAGCAGTCTCCTTCTTATACTGAAACTGCTGCAGGTCAGCCAGGCCTAAAGTGGACTTGGGCTGTCTTGATCGTTCAGTTGAGGTGGAGCTGCCTGACCAGTAAAAAAGCCTGAGGCCATGACTGGCTGAACTGGGAGATGTTTTGCTTGTTGATGGAGGCGGACTCGGGGTGTCCACAGATGGAACATCGGGACTATCGCTGTCATTGGTCTGGGTGCTGGAAGAATTGTCCTGAGTGTGACTCACAGCTCTGGGATCCACATGCTGAGGTAAATCCTCCTGAGTAGACTCCTTAGTGATCGGACTGGATGCTAAACTGGAACTGCTGAAGAATCTACAGGTGGGAATAAACACCATCAGGAAGCTGTACAGTGTTAACCTTACTGCTTGTTAAGGCTGTTTGACTATTGCAACAATGATGACCTTCATTTTTTTGGTAAATATTGTGATCACAATCATAGCCCTCGATTTACAGGAATGCTTCAACATTTTTGGAAACATGCTTAGTTTCCCTGTTTCGAAGAATGTGTCCCCTGATAGTGAAACAAACCGTTAATCGATGAGGAGTCACCCGACTTTTCATTAGTCCGATAGTCGCAGAAAAAAACAAAAACCTGTCGTTGGAGTATCGGGAGCAACGCACTGTCGACAAGACAGACATTCTCTAACACAGGAAGTCACTTACTGGTGAATTGCTGCATGTGCTAGTTAGCGGTGCTTTTAGCTGACTGTACCTGGACTGAGAACTCAAAGGACTGCAGGAGGTTTGGGAGAAGGAAGTTTTTAGGACCAGGGCAGGGAATGCTACTTAAAGAAAGCAACATAGTATGTACTATTCATTTAAGTAAACAAGATGATTTTATTATTATTATAATTTCAGTGGAGCATTTATAATGAGCAGCAGTTACATGATCTTGTTTCAGTTCTCATTCTTTTGCTGTCCTTAAGGTGCAGCTACAAACTCGAGGCATATTTCAAAAATCTCCAAATGTCAGAGCAAATGTATTTTATACAGTCTGTAATTATTTTGAGTGTTCCTGCTGGTGTCTTTGCCACAACAAAAAACAAACTTTCTACTACCTCCTCCATATATATACGGTTGTTGTTGCTACCGAGGGCATTTATTACTCTACCTGCAAACAGAAACTCAACACTTTCTGTGTCAAATTAAAAGCTCTGTTTCAGTGGACATAATCCCTTCATTTCCTAACGAGGTTTTTATTGTGAACATAGGCAGATCTAGAGAAATACTAATGGGGTGGCAAGAGGGTGACACAAATATATGTATGTTAATTTAATCACAATCAATCACATGCTTAGAAAAGCCCCTAAATTAAGATAATTGAACTCAAAAACATGACATTGTGTATTGTGGGTAGAAATATCTAAAGGCGGCATTAGAAATCAACAAATCTTCAGACAATTTTCCAAATACATAAGCCCATTGCTTAGCCTAAAAAATATCAGATTAATTATATGCGTTAATTTACTTTCTTTAACTTTTTTTTTTTTTTTTTTTTTTAAATTAGATCAACCCCTGATTGTAAAATATTTGCAGGAATGTGTTGCAGAAAATTCAGTGACTTGCACTGTTGCCATCTAGTGCTTCAAGTTTAACTATTGCCAACCTGTGGCACTTTACATTACTACAAAATCCAGTTTGGCCAAGACATTAACACTCACTTCAGACAAACAAACCTCTTCACCACTTTGTCAACAACTGACTAGTTAGTTTAATCACATGTTAAGTTAAATTAAGTTATCCTTTATTGGTCCTGATAGGGAAATTTATTCTCTGCATTTGACCCATCTTAAGTACTAGGATCAGTGGGCGCCAACTGCAGATCTGAGCGAGTGCCTTGGTCAAAGTACTGACTGGACATACATATTTTTGTATATGTTAGGGGGAACATGGAGCACCTAGAGGAAACCCACACAAATATGGGGAGAACATGCAAATTCCACGCAGAAAGACCCTGCCCCAGCCAGGAATTAAACCCAGGCAAAATGGTAATCCCTGAACAATCCTGAGTGTTCTATACAGAGCTCTTTTAAATAATCAACTAATAAAAATCATATAAAACTGAATCATCAACTAATATCGCATTCAAATGTACCAGAGACAACATACTTCTGCATTTTTTATACACACTAGGTGTTAACTGCTTGTGCTGCTTGCCCTACAGTAAACATTTGTATCTAGTAGTCAATAATGCAGAAGGTGATCATTAGATGAGTTTTCTGTGATGTCACCTGCTGCATGTGGCCTGGCCATCCTCCTCAGCTTCCTGGTTCCTCCTCTGCAGGAGAGTGGCGAAGCGGTTTCGTGAACAGGGCTGCCTGGTTAAAGTTGCCTTGTCTGGCTGCTGGTCTGACCTGACTCGCTTCTGACTGGAGGATGAATACTGCTGCAGCACGTCCTGGTCTGATATACTAGAGTCTATGGGAGACAAGAAAAAAGTACAACCCAGAATCATAAGAGTGTGCCTTTACTTTCTTGTTCTATTATTTCCAGTCGGCTTAGTATCATCCTACCTAGTATTTTGCTGCCACAGTGATTCAGTGCCCTCAAAGGGACCAATTACAGTACCTGTGGATCATTTCATTTTATCTACAAAAAAAGGACAGCGTTGATAAAAGTTGAGTTGGGTGAACCTGTAATGAGCTAAATTTAAGGCCAATCCTTTAGCAGCACAAACTAAAGCTGGAGTTCAGCTACAGTCTTGTTAATTTCTGTGATCAAACCTTCCCAAATGAGTAATCTGCAGACTATTCACATGTTCTCTGATAATGCCACAAGCTGATTAACTTTAGCACAAATGTTTTTCCATCTCATGAATAATGTTTTGGAGATTTTAATGGAAACAAACTGTCCAATGGCTCTCTGAGGTAATTGAAAATGTGAAATGACATGCTTTCAAACTGAACAGATTTTAGTATAGTTTTCCTCTAACAGTAAAATTAATTTGGCCCAACTAATAGTTCAAATTAAGTAGAAATTACTTTATTTTACAGAAAATTCATCTTCTCACCTATTAGCCTGTTAAAAGAAGAAGCAGTAAGTGTTTTGCACGTACAGTTAACACTGCTGTGCATGTTATTTATTGACCACAATAACAAGAAATTTGTTTGTAGCTCAAAAAGACTGCTGCAAGTCTGTTCCACTTGTGGTAAACGCGCGCCGAAGTGTCATATTGGGCAATTTCTCCTACCAACTGTCGAGTTTCAGACAAAATACATTGGCGATCTGAGTGTGGGGCTAAAATACAATAAAAATTTTGCAGGATGATTATTTCCAGTATATTTGCTTATTTAAAAATGTACAGGTGTTTCCATTACTGGAAAACTAGTCTTTCCAGGTTTTCCAGGATAGGTGGGAACCCTGACTCAACAAACAAACAAACAAGAAAAAGTTACAAGAAAAACGCAGACATGTTATTCAATTATCTAGTCAATAACTGTGGCTCCTAAGTGGACATGAAAAAAAATAATGTATTGTCAGTCACCCTGTCAGTAAATTGTTCCACAGCCTATGATCATCATCAGCTGTCAGTGAGTGATGAGTGTATTTGTATTAAAGACAAGTAGAAATGTAAACACTGCATGTTAACAGCTCACCTTCTCGTGGTCTCTTCACCTGCAGCTCTCTGCAGGGCAACCTAAGACCGTCCAGGCTGATGACTCTCTCCTTCCCCCTGGTGGGGGGAGGCCTGTCTGGGGAGGCAGCAGACTGGGGTGGGGCAGCAGATGCTGGTTTGAAGCCTCTGCTCCAGATACTGGGCCCAGTGGGGGCGGGTGAGTCGTTCCAGCTGTGACTGCGGGGTTTAGAAGGCTGAAAAGACATTTGCGTCATGTAAATGTGACACTTCGTTTTGATGATCAGGAATCCTTTCAATGATTGTGGTCTAATACCTGTGGCAGGGGTTTGTCTGGGCTAAAGTTGTCTATCCTCTGCATGGTGTTGATGTCAAGGTTTCCCAGGGCCATCTGCAAGCCTTCTTCATCTCCTAGATTGCTGGACTCATCATCAAGGATTAAATACTATGCAAGTGATAGAGAGGAACTCACAGCTTGCCATTAGTAAATCAAATACGACACTGCATTATTAACAAAGGAGACATTTGGTCAGGTGTTATTCAGGACAGAAGGATACAGTCCAGCATAGCTGAGGGTGGCTGGGTCCATGTGCTCTGGGTATGGGTTGAGGGGTACAACCTTCCTACTGATGGGATCAAACACCAGCTGGTAGAGGAAGGTGTTATTGGCTCTGACGAATCCCTCGATGTACTCTTCAGGGACGACTAGATTCATCTTCAGGTACTGGCCCATCTTTCTGATCACCTGACACACAACTGTCTGTCACTGGAGCACTGCTACAGGCTTTTACCAACACAATCATTATAATGCTAGTGTTGATTAGACCAACAGCTTATTACCCTGTACAATTACCCTAGGACTCTTAATGAAACCATTCATTACTTATTTTCCATTGCTGAAAATTCTGTTTCTTTGCATACTGTATATACTGTTATATCCACGTACCCCATGTGCATAAAGATACCTGCACGTAAAATATTTATTTCAGCATCCTTTTCCCCCACTTTTATTTATATATTTATTTCCCTTTCCCCTACTCTTCTTTCTCTTAAAAAAAAAAAAAAAAAAAAAAACGACTGCTGCTGGCTTACCTCCACACACCCCGGGCCGCGATGTGGTCGGTCAAAAGGAGACGGCACATACTTACTGTGGTGAATTTTAATTTCTGTGCGCACTGTAGATAATTCCATGCCCCCCACTCCCTACTTCTTAAATGCATAATCAATGCATAATTCACTGCCTCACCATCTGGTCTCACCTTGAGGATATCAGGGTCTTTGGCCATCCGGAGCAGCTTGCAGGCCTTGCCCAGGCCGATGCCATGCAAGGAGGCCAGATAATCACAGCCAGAGAGGATGCACATGTGGCGAAATTTCTCCTCTGTGAAAAAGTTCCCTAGAGGGCGACAGCGGCCCAGGTTGCTCTGGTCTATCTCCAGGCTGTTGCCATGCTTATCCATTTTGAGGATCACCTGCATGATTGTGAAAGAGGCTTTATTATTGAGTCATGCTTGGTTCATGTGGCCAGTTCTTAAAGGCTGTCATTCTAACATATGGTTTGCTGCAAACTGACTAAAAAAAAATATATATATAATAAAGATTAAGATTTACCTTATTAATCCCCTATTGTAGAAATTCTTTTTTTCACTCCTATTTTTATATACACACAGGCTGAAATGCAGGCTTGTGGACATGCAAACATGGAGAGAGAATATCAAATAATGATATATATATATATATATATATATATATATATATATATATATATATATATATATATATATATATATATATATATAATGATAATCATCAATAAAATAAGGTAAATGGACCTGGTAAATGTATAGCGCCTTTCTAGTCTTCTGACCACTCACTTTTATTACGTGAGACATTCACCCTTTCACACAGTGATGGCAAAGGCCATCGAACAGAAACTAACATTCATACACATTCACACACCGATGCACTTTGGGGTTCAGTATAGTTCAAGGATACTTCGACATGTGGCACCAGGAGCCGGGGATCGAACCCACAACCTTCCGATTAAGGAACGACCCGCTCTGCCTCTGAGCCGCAGCCGCCCCACACACTCCATGCACACTCCATACTGTGGGATTTGAACTGGTGATCCTCCGGTTCCCAAGCCAAGTCCCTACACACTGAGCTACTGCCGCCCCTTAAGTCTGTTGTTTCTCTCACTTGGTGGTTAGCCAACTTCCTTGTCATTCTTGCCATAGAGCACAGAGTAAGCATTAGTACCCTTATGCACACATGCAAAATTGTATCTGGTTTGCATAACATCGACAGCCAATAATATCCCCCTGCTCTATGCTACCGTCAGGTTTCCTCTATGTATTTACATATGTATTCAGCCACTGGGTCTAGTGCATGATACCTTTTTGCAGCCAAATGCCAGCAGGTCAGAGTCTTCTGTGATGACAGCCTGGGCTAAACCATATTTAGTTAGGTAAGCTAACTGAGCATCCGCTTCATATGGAGCCACAACACAGTCCACCCCTTTCGCCCTTGCAGCCTGTTTTAAGAAGCAAGACAAAAACATTTCCAACAAAACTTCATCATGAATGATGTTATATAATAAAGTAACAAAGAAAAACAGAGAACACATGTATTTATAGGATTCTTGCTAAATGCATTTCTCTATGTTGCTCTGTGTACAATGACACAAAAAAGTGCAGTGATTCAACTGATAAGATGTGACTAACAACTCAAATCATTAGCTTTTAGTGGGCAGAATTAGGGCTATATAAACACTGACTTTACCTCCTGGCAGGAGATAGGAAGCCCTTACCTTAATAAGGTTATGAGCCATGGCTGGGGTGATGTTAACACAACGGGTAAAACAGTCTCTGGCCTCAGAAACTTTGCCTTCACGTAACAGCTGTCTGCCTTTCAGAAGGTTGGTTTCTCTGCGCCTGAGAGGCACAAATGAAGCAGAATCAATAACGGAACACTAGAATTCCTAATTGCAATTCAAATGAAATCTAGTAAAATGTTAAAATGAGAAATAAAACTGGAGACTATGTTTCTGGACAATGATATAAAACCTTCCTAAGAGACAACTGAGTTAGGAAATGGCTAAGATTATTTTGTAGTAAGTAGTAACACCACTATCAGCAGCAAAAATAAAAGACAGATACAGCTCAGTTTCCCTGTTAATAACAATATTGTTTTGGTCTTTTAGTCCTTTTGGTCTCACCTGTCTGCAGGTCTGTACATTCCTCTCTGCACCGTCACACACAAACAATGTTGCACTGTTGCCGTTTTGGAATGCAGTGATTAGATAAACCAAGCTTTGTCTGAGCCTGTTTGTTACCAGGTATGAAAAACACCGGATTATTATGTTTGGCACAGGCCATCCATCAGTGCTTCTCAAAAACTCTGTGTGATCATTTTCTGTTGACTATGTTTACATTCACAAAATATTCTGTTTTTTGCCCTTATTCCAAACAAGACAACATTCCTACTAAACTGTTGTAGTAGGAATAGTGTCTAATGAAAATTAATATTCCACTAATATTACCTAATTATTATTTTCTTTTCTTCTGTGCGTGTGTCTCTTCTCCAGCCTTATAAACTGTTGGCTAGTTAGTTTGTTTACAACACAGAGCTGACCGTAAACAGGCAAACCGCAGTAAAAAACCCAAATGAGACGCATATTCTGAATGCACTGTATACTATATAATATTAGCATATCCCATATGTCTGAATTAGGAATATCGAAAGAGAACATGTTGTTTACATGACCATTATCATAAGTGGAATATTGTCATATTGGGAAAGATGGAAAATTAGTATGTTTATTTTTTTTATACTGTACAAATTACAAATACAAATTTACACTAATTTATACACCAATGAAAAAATACCTATGAATAGTATATTCCATTTCTGTCCAGCTCACACTGGACCTTTAAACGCCATTTAAAGTCGGTCTTTTTGTTTCAGATATTTGCTGCTCTTATAGGTCAGTAACCGAACAACGTCATCAGTGAGATGTGCGCAAACAGGAGATAGAAAATGAAAAACAATGACCATTTATGAGGGCATCAGTGTGAGGAGTTGTTTATGCACCCTTAAACAACAATCACAAAAATAATGGGTCAAAAATTTTCATTATCTTAAAAAGAAAACCTTCCAGTCAGATCAGAGTGGATAATTAGCTATCTGGTCAGAACCATGGGTTTTATATGGGGTAAGTACTGAATGGTGGTGGGGGGGTATTGGCAAGAATCTGGCAATATGATACGCATCATGATACTGGGGTTAGAATTCAATATGCTGCAATAGTGTAAGCAACACAATATAAATTGTGATTTCTTTTTATAAAATCTAATTTTAGCAAAACTGTCTGAGGAAAACAAAGTCTACTTTTGTTTGTATTTGTATTTATCAGTCTCTGTAACATCCAACATTATAGCCCTCAGTTCACGTTTACAACACACACGCTATCTAGTTGTTTGGGATTTAAATACAAAAATATCTATAGTTATGGAGAATCGATACAATATCACAAAACAAAATATTGCATACGATTTTGTTTTTCCACCCCTGGTGGGTGTTAAAAAAGTGGGTTTTGAACGGAACCTGCTGAGGAAGAAAAGCATTTTAAGGTAAAACAGTTGGCACTGGGCATTTATGTTTTAAGTAAAATGTGCTAATGTTTAAAAGTGTTCTTGGACTTGAGGTCATAGATAATAGGCAGTCCAGGACATAGATGTGTCATCCAAACACTCATACAGACTCAAGGTAAATACTCACTCTCTGCGAGCCTTTTCCACCTCTCGTTTTGATGGCAGATTGCGTCCATCAAACACCAGAATTGGTTTGACTCTGAAGTTCAACAGCATGTCCACAAATTTCATGCAGTACCACACGTACCTAGGATTGGACAAATTCAAATGCCAATATCAGTTGTGGACATAACAAGAAAATCACAAAGTGAATATTAACATGTTTCTAAACATATTTTCTTTTGAATAATAATAAAAATGCTCACTGATCAGTTGGTTCTCCTTTAGCGAGCTTCTCAGCACATGAAAATGCTCCTTTATGCAGCCAGCAGTAAGTGTCCACAGCCACGGTCTGGCCTTTGTATTTCTTCACATTGATGGGGTCTGCTGCATCTTTGATGAACTGCAGCAGTCCAGAGATTCCCATTTTCAGCTGCCAATTGGAGCCACACTGATTCTCAAACTGTAAATGGATCAGGAAAATACTGATGAAAACAACTGCTCACACTTTCAGTGAGGAAAGGCATCCAGAAAGCTCACTGATGACAACATAAAAACATTCCTCAGAGCGTGCTTACTACTGCCTCATTTCAAAATTACAGGAAATAATTGCATGATCCAACATTAAGAACTGTAATTATATCTCAAACTTGCTACAAGGAGTTTTCAACTGGTTATGAAACAGTCTCAATTTAGTACCGATGCCTCTATATGGCCTACACAAACAACCAAGACCATCAGAGAGAAGATGTAGCAGGGGCTTTCACTAATTGAATCTTTAAGTTAAATATGACTACATCCAGTGAGTGGAAAATGCTGACAGACATGGTTCCAGCATCCCACCTCCCCTTCCAAAAACTGGGACAAAATAACCACAAAAATCAGATAAAGCATTTGTTCAGAGATGACAGTGAGTTGAAAACTACACATCTTCACAAGCCATTCGGAATGAACATTATTTATCTCACAGAAAAAACGATGTAACATTTGTTGATGTCTGTACCAAACATCTGGAGAATGAGATTTGTAGGCTAGGACATCTCTGCAGCACTACAGCGCTTCATTGTAATGCTGTTTGACACACATTTTACCTTTATCAAACAAAATGCTGCATCTGTCATTTGGATATTGCCATTTCAATAACATTTGAATTAATTGTCCAGTCCTGCAGTTTTCAGCATCAACACAACTGTTTGGTCTGAACACAATGTAGAAACAGAGAGCTGTAGCAACAGTCTGTCTGTTATCATTTAAAATGGATGTAATAAGAGAATATTTGTAAATCAAAATCTGCCATGCCTGCTAATGCATGGCATTATGATTAATAACAGGATATTAATTTACCCTAAAAGCAGTGGCACCTGTGTGTAGATCATCATAGTCTCAACTATCAGAAAAATACTGACAATAACACAACAAATATTGATTCTGCTTATTTGTCAGATTCTTTATCAATTCCTGAACAATTTCTCTGCAAAGGCACTACTGTTAGTATAAGAAAGGATATTTAGCCTCTGTGTAACGGCTGTTTTGCTCAGTGCATAAAGTGTCAATAACATGGCATTCCTGGAATTTAAGTCCATGTTGAGTAGGAAGAAGTTTCAGCATACTGCTGGTGTTTCCCCCTTTACTTAAAATGATAATTTTATAGACATTACAAACAGCTCTGTTGTCATCTTTCTTTGTGAAATGAAGCCACGCTTTGGAAAGTTTCTTGGTCTCCACTAGGACTCCTTCTTGTTGCACCTTTCCAGCAGAGTAGACACTTGAGTTTGAAGTCATTGTTTTGCAATCCTCAACTGACAAAAACATGCCAACATTTTTCCTGATATTATTAGTTACTTTTCATACAATTCTCTGTGCGTATGTTTTGGCTTGTTTTATAACAATCGTATATACTTAATACGCTTCTTTTGTTGTTCTATTAGCTCTTTGGTTGTTTTAACTGTTTACTTTTCTGATGCAACACAAGGCTGTTTATCAGAAAGTAAAGGCTTTTTTTCAACTTTACATCTTAAACAATCTAAACTTTAAAAACAACATTGTCATTTTGTTGTTCTTTACATAAATGAATGAATAGCTACACTTAAAATTAAAAAGGCCTTGTGATCCCGTGAGACATACTTTTAACTTTTATCCTATATTTTGTAAGTTGGAACAACAAGTGAAAAAATAAGGCTGGCTGACTATATTGCTCCTAGTTTGATTATAGACTTTTTTTTATTTTCAAACCTAAATATATAAAAAATACTCGGAGGGGAAAAATGTGCATCTATTATGGTGGCCCTTCACATGAAAATGTTTGTTTTTTATTCATTTATTTTGTTTTTTAAAGTAGCATACAGGGAACTATGTCTAAATTTCATTCCAAAAACCTGCATTGTAAATGACAATGAAATAACCTTGAATCCTTGAACACAACACTAGAAATTTACTTTGCTTCAAAATCTTCATTTGCATATTGCATATATTTGGTTTGTATGTACCTCAAAAGTCTCATACATACTGTATAACCAACATATCACACTTCGAAGATCAGCTTTACTTAATACCGGTAACTACTTGATCCTTTGTTTTTGCTTAATGGCAGAGATTGCGTATTACAGCTAATGTATACATAAGGGTGCGGCTCTGAAATGGAGATGAATCTGGATATGAATTATATATACTGTCGATGATCTGCTCATTCCTACCACTGCGCATTAACGTTAGATAAAGAAATCTACACATTTCAACTTGCTATTCTTACAGTGAAAAAGAAGACTTCGTTAGGCTAGTGCATCACTTTAATATGGAGTATTTTCAGGTTTAGTGTTGGCTAATAATGATCGCTTATCCCGCTATCTTCATCCGCTAAAACACCAGAGAGGGCTAACTAAACCAAAAGCTGGCTAACACCGAACAGTTTCACGTTTACAGTTCAGGTAACTGAAGCCCTACTTGGTGAATAAATGCGCCGAATTTAGCACTAAACCTAAATAATTATAAATGTTGTCGGGTTTATTATTTAGACCTCTATGTGTTTGTTAATAAACAAGTGAACATTAAATTGGAAGTTTTTAATATAACGTTAGTAGTCTAGTGTAGTACATAGTAAATCGTATCGAGGGGTTAAGTGGTGACATTGTCGTTTCTTTTGAATGCAGAGCAGTTTCTTGCTCTTACAAATATTGATAGCAACGTTAGTTAGCTGAGACACAATCTGAAAGGCTCTATGATCTAACGAGCTAACGTTAACATAGTAACGTTAACTGAACTGAACAAAGTGGACAGTTTCTGCGCCAACGCTGGCTAAAGGCGGCTACAACCGACGTCTATGTAAATAACACACACTGACAATACGTTAAAGCAGTATAATATATAACAGTATGTCAAATTCACTGAATACCGAATTAAAACTTACTCCTTTCCAGTTACTTTTATCCACAGCCCGAACAGAAGGCTGGAGTGAATTTAGTTTTAGCGGCAAAATGAGTTACTGAGTATGAGCTTCTGCTATTGGCCACAGAGCTGCTGCTATTGGCCACAGAGCTGCTGCTATTGGCCAGATGAACTGAGAGGGCGGGATTAACCGAAGAAGAAGGGGTGCGCTCCAAAACCTTACGTCTACACCCGGTTAACATGTTCCCGTGCAACACAAAATAAACCGTTTCTTGTTTACTTTTTTTGGCACTATTAAGTTTCAACAATGACAATTATCCCAGCGACCCCGCACTGGCTGCCTGATCATCAGCTGATAGAGATGCATCGACACAGCCTAGCTCCTTCATGTGCCACAAGCACATCCCCGCCCTCGCCTCTTTGTAAATTTGCGACACGCCGGTGCTCGGACCTCAGCTCGCAAGCACTTCACCGCACAGGAAAAAGCTGATATTTTAATGATCGCTCAAGCAATTGTTCATGAACTATGCACACTTCAGTACATTATTAGTTAGTTAGGACATTATTCTCTTATACGCAGTGTGTACTATCACGGGTCAAGAAGGCCACATGGTCTGCTTTCATTTTTGGTAAAACAACTACCCCTGAAAGTGTGTCAAAAGTGTTGGACTAAAGTTGAGATGGGCAAGACCAAAAGAAACAGTATGAATCGATTCTGCAGGACATCTGTCACAAAGAGGATTAACGTCAAAATAAATGTGTCAGATTTTTGTCCTGTGAGTGCGGTGTATGATTTATGTTGGGAATAGATCAGGTTTTGCATATGTAGATGAAGTCGACCCGGTGAAGAATATCAGCTCATAGATCCTCGTTAGTTTCTTCGCCTATATCCTGCTCCTATGATGTTTTAGAGCTTATCGAGGGGAACTATCCACAAGAGATGATACCTTTTTGACATAATGTGTGGTAGTGAAAGAGCATCAGTGGAGGGGCTCGCAGGCTGAGAGGGAAATTAAGAGGTTGTTGGTTTTAGTGACTAACTGTTCATCAGAATGATAGCCTGTCGGTAGAAACTGTTCTATGTGTTCCTATAGGGTATTGCTCACTTACGATTACCTGTCATAATTTAGACAATGGTGTCATGTTATCAAAAACCGTTAATTACTACTACTTCTACTGTAGGTTTAATTTTTATCTATAAGTTACATCTCCCAGTGAGCGATTCATATGTCCCAGCTTTATGATATGACCTGAATGCATCATAAGACGTGTCTCATTTCCCAGCTTCCTCTGCACTTCCTGCTTTCCACCGCAGCAGTGACAGACGGAACGAAAACAAAATGCGATAAATGAACTTTACTGCTGAGCTGTGATCAGTGACAGCGTTATTAACGCTTACTGACAGATCGTTTAAATGTCAGTTCTCTGTTCCTGAGGCGTGTTGTAGTACTATAAAGTCAAACATGCAGTTCTCTCCCACCAACGGAGATTTCACGTTTGTCTCCTCGACAGAGGCTGAAGGTAGGCTAATGCCAGCACAGCACTGCGGCTAGCAGGCCTTACAGGAGCTAACCACTCACCTGGTTACCTGCTTTATTTTAGCTATCGTTAAGTAGCGCAGTCATTCGGATACACAAACTTTCAGAAGAAAAGTAACGTTAGTATCTAGGTGTGTGCCATTCGAAGTTGCTAATGTTACTGAACAGTATTTAAGGAGCAAGCTATCGTTAGCTAGCTAACGTTAGTTACCTAGTATGTTGCAGTATTGATACGTGTCGCTCACTGTTTACTAACAGAAAGTAATTGACTAACTGGAACCTGTATGTGATCTTGCTTATTGTCCAAGTTATGAATCCATTAACATAAGACATTAAAGGGCTGCTAGTAGTCATTGGGCTCTATGACGAAGCACAATTGTGAGCTACCTTCCACACCTAACCTTATAACGATATATATATATATATATATATATATATATTATATAACGTTAACCACACTCCTGTTTACACTGCTCACTCCACCGCCTAATACTGTAACATAAGGAAGTAATGTACGCACAATGGATTGTAGATGATAATAAACCTTATTAATGACCAACAATCAACATAGAGATACGTTGTATTCTGTAAACGCCTTTTTACCTACGGTACGTATTTATTTAACAGAGTTCTTTATTAATCCTAAAAATAAATGACAGTGTTGAAGTAGCTAACTTACCTTAATACATAAATCAGTGGTTCTCAACCCCGGGTCCAGGGGTCCTTGAGAGAGGTTAAGTGAGAGACAGCACAGCCAGAATAATAGTAACAATAACAACTTTAATAGTTAGGGATTGAGATGCACCATATTGTTTATTTTTTGTCATTTAAAAATACGATTACTTGTAGTTTGATGGCAAGAAAGACTGACATGTAGTGAACAAAAATGTATGATTTAACGTTACTGTTCCATAGCTCTGTTCTAACCAAATCTAACTGACATCACTTTTGTTTTAACCACAACAACAAACAACAGTTGTGACTCTTCAAATGTTCATTAATTTTTTCTGGGAAAGTTCTTTTAAAAAATATATTTATATTATTATGGACCAATCATTTATCAGCTGTAATTTATTATTATATACATAGTAATATAACATTTCCCATTATCAGCCCATAATTTATCAGTCTTATACATTCTCAGTTCATAATAATAAGAATGTATTTTGAATTCTTATGCAAAACATTTGGTATGCTTTATGTTCTATGAAAGCCAAAGTATGATTGTGAAGTTCTTTGATGAAAAAATAAATGAACATTTGAAGAGTCAGAATTGTTAGTTTTTGTTGCGTTAGTTAACGCTATAGATAGATAGATAGATAGATAGATAGATAGATAACTTTATTAATCCCACAATGGGGAAATTCACTTGTCACAGCAACATTTGAGTGAAATAAATAGCCTACAGATATTTTAAAAAAAAACAGGAACATTTCTATAGCCTACAGCAGGTCCACGGTCTTATTGTCTCTGATGGTGCATGTGACAAACTGGTGGAAGGTTGGGAGTGTGGATGAGAGAGAGAAACGTGGTTGAAGTCCCCTGTGGTGGTGATGATGATGAAGGCCTCCGTGGTGGGGGTGATGATGAAGGCCTCCGGGTGTTTCGTTTGTAGTCCTGCAGTCACAGTGTGGATGATGTCACGCGCTGCTTCTGCTTTCCCAGACGGAGGAATATAGACAGTGATGGCGATAACACTAGAAAGCAACCACTGGATGAGTTGGACTAACCTGGCTAACAGGGCTAAGCCAACAAGTATGCTACAGTTGATAGACAACAACTGCCAAACCTTTCTTACGCAACTGTTAAACATATCATGTCTGTGGGATTTTGTCATACCACAGAGCTCAGCGGCACCATCAGCGCCCCGGACATTAAACTGAACATAGGCGGTGAGAGTGCTAAAGATCCGTATGCCACCACCTTCCTGAGGCAGCGAGGCTACGGCTGGCTGCTAGAGGTGGAGGAGGAGGACAATGAAGAGACCAAACCTCTCCTGTGAGTACATGTCATCACTCTCACTCATCTTAACCCTTTATTTAATCTGTAAGGTATAATGGATCTTCACAGCAGCCATTTTGGCAAATAAATAGTAGGGTAAACACAGGTGTTACCAATGATATTTTAGGTCAAACAGAGTCAAGTGATAAAACAGCTTTCTGATTTAGTTATTTATAACTTACAGAAACAGTAGTTCACCTTATCATCCCCTCTCTTCGTCACTCTCTCACAGTCTGTGCATGTACGTGTATGAGAGACAAAGTTCATGCCTTTAATGAAGGGTTACTTGTTTTATCTGTTATTTAGCAATAGAGAACACTTTTGGAACAATTCATTTGTTTATTTAGCCGACTACTGTGGGCAGAGAAGAAAGATGGCACTGTGGACAGCTACTAGCTGCTCCCAGCAGCAGGATCAGGTTCTTGGAGAGTGCCATGGGGCTCAGTCCTAACAACTTTGCTACTGTAATGCATAATGTTGGCAGTTTGTGGGTCAGGTCTCTTACTTATTGGGGGAAAACATAACATATTTAAGTGATTTAAACCAGCCTAGTTAAAGTCAACTTTTTAAATTTTTAATTTGAAAAAAAATGATTTTTTCGTACAGGCAGTCACCTTTATTCTGTAGTACCCGATAGAAACTAATCTAACCCTGTGGGCACAACCAGTCAGAGTGCTTCATGGATTCATTTCATCAGTTGAGTTGTTAAGAGCAGGCATGGCTGCATTCAGGACAGGCAGGCATGCTATTGGAGCGGAGCCATGTAAACTATAAATGTAACAGTAAGTGTTTTTACCAGCAACTGAATATACTGACTGAGGTTAACCCTGGAGCAGTAGAGGAGTGTCCCCTATGATCCTCTAAATCAGTCTGGCTGAAGCTGGTTGTTTTTTGTTTTTTTTAAATCTACATAATGCTCCATATTAAATGGTCCAGCAGAAATTTGCTTTATAGCCTGGTACCAAAACACGTTTGGTCTCTTTTGGTATATAACTCACCTGTTTGAATTATATTAAGTATCACATTTACTGGTATGCATAATTAAGGGCATGGTCGAGTGACAAGCTGGTGCCGACACATGCTGTTAGTCGGAAGTCAGAACTGCAAAGATGGCGATGGCCAGAGCTGACCACACTTAGGGTCTTCAGAAACCTGTGGGTGACGTCACAGAGACTACGTCCAGTCTTTTATTGCTTCAGACGTAGCAGTCTATGACACAAATGCTTGTTAAAATAATGGTAAATGGACCTGTACTTGTATAACGTATAAGTCTTCTGACTACTCAAAGCGCTTTTACACTCATTCACACGGTGATAGCAAACAGAACCTAACTCATACATTCATTCACATTCACACCGATGCCACAGCACCGGGAGCAATTTGCTCTTATCCTTCCTCAATAATAATAATACGACATGCGGCAGGGAGGAACCGGAGATCGAACCAACAACCTTCCGATTAGTGGACGACCCGTTCCACCCCTGAGCCACAGCCCTGTTAATGTAGTTCAGTTGTTTCTATTGTATATAGATTTGTTTATTTTGTCATTACAATGTCCTCTTGTCTGTGTGAGCAGGGAGGAGCTGGACATTGACCTGAAGGACATCTACTACAAAATCCGATGTGTGCTGATGCCAATGCCATCGCTGGGATACAACCGGCAGGTGGTCAGAGACAACCCGGACTTCTGGGGCCCTCTAGCCGTGGTTCTGCTCTTCTCCATGATCTCCATCTATGGACAGTTCAGGGTGAGCAGGGCACAGTGAACACCACTGTGTTATCTGCATTCATGACTTCGACCATGTGTCCCACACTATATTTTAACAGCTGGTAGTTTTTGGGTACTGTAAAACTTGTAATAAAAATAGGGTCCCAAATACAGTGCTGTGAAAAAGTATTTGCCCCCTTCCTGATTTCTTATTTGTTTGCATATTTGTCACACTTAAATGTTTCCGATCCTCAAACCAATTTTAATATTAGACAAAGATAACCTGAGTAAATACAAAATGCAGTTTTTAAATTATGATTTAATTAATAAAAGGGAAAAAAGCCCCTATGTGAGAAAGTAATTGCCCCCCTTGTTAAATCATGAATTAACTGCGATTACCCACATTCTTTTGGAAACTGTGTTCAATTTCACTTGCCACACCCAGGCCTGATTACTGCCAGACATGTTGAATCAAGAAATCACTTAAATAGAACCTGTCTGACAAAGTGAAGTAGGCTAAAAGATCTAACAAAGCAACACATAATGCCGTGATGTAAAGAAATTTAAGAACAGATGAGAAACAAAATCATTGACATCTGTCAGTCTGGAAAGGGTTACAAGCCATCTCTAAGGCTTTGGGACTCTAGGGAACCCTGGTGAGAGCTGTTATCCACAAATGGAAAAAACTTGGAACAGTGGTGAACCTTCCCAGGGGTACCGGCCTACCAAAATTACTCCAAGAGTGCATCGACGACTGATCCAGGAGGTCACAAAAGAACCCAGAACAACATCTAAAGAACTGCAGGCCTCGCTTGCCTCAGTTAAGGTCAGTGTTCATGATTCAACAATAAGAAAAAGACTGGGCAAAAATGGCATCCATGGGAGAGTTCCAAGTTCCAAGTTCCAATACCACTGCTGACCAAAAAGTCTTGGCCTGCTTTGCTGCTTCAGGACCTCGACGACTTGCTGCAATTAATGGAACCATGAATTCTGCTCTCTACCAGAAAATCCTGAAGGAGATTGTCCAACCATCAGTTTGTGACCTTAAGTTCAATCACACTTGGGTTTTGCAGCAGGACAATGATCCGAAACACACCAGCAGGTCCACCAAAATGAAGGTCTTGGAGTGGCTTAGTCAAAGTCCGGACTTAAATCCGATTGAGATGCTGTGGCATGACCTTATACAGGCCGTTCATGCTCGAAAAACCCTCCAATGTGGCTGAATTTAAAAAATTCTGCAAAGAAGAATGAGCCAAAATTCCTCCATAGCGATGTGAAAGACTCATTGCCAGTTATCGCAAACGCTTGATTGCAGTTGTTACTGCCAAGGGTGGCAAAACCAGTTTTTAGGTTTAGGGGGCAATTACTTTTTCACATAGGGCCAGGTAGGTTTAGATAGCTTTTTCCCCTTAATAAAAAAATGAAAATTTATTTATCTTTGTCTAATATTAAAATTTGTTGTATCTGAAATATTTTAGTGTGACAAATATGCAAAAAAAAAAAGAAATCAGAAACGGGTCAAATACTTTTTCACAGCACTGTAGATGTAGGTCTCTTTTACAAGCCTGGGGTGGCTACCTGTTGTGACAAATAAATGCAGTTCTTAAATCCCATCAGGTCACCTGCTTGAGCAAGTTCTAAGTGCTTAGATCCCCTACACAAATATAAATGTTTGTATAAACTTTTGTCAAGATGGACACTGAATATTATTTAGATCAGTTAGATTCTCCACAATTCATGGCACGGTAAACGAGAGAGAAGGAAAAAAGTGCTGACTCCCTACCTCATTAAGCCTATACAAGTCTGAATGCTGGGTATTGGCTGCTATAAAACAATGTTCACGTTGTCATGGCAGTGGCACAGAGAAAAAGTACGGCCTGAAATTTAAGCCGTAGTTGTCAAATTTGCTGAACAAAACTCAGGAGGAGCAGCACTATTACATAGTATTTCCCACCTTTGCTGAGCAAGAGTTTGTGTTAAAGGAATTAAATGCCTGCACCACACAGATGCCTGTCCCCAATAAAGGCAGGGTGATTTCAGAGCAAATAAATTCCTTAGTTTTATGGTATACACCATTAAAAAAAAAGCATACTGGGAGACTATAACTATAAAAGGTCCGGATTGCCCAGAGTCATCTGGATGGCGAAAAACGGATTAGCCCTGCCTCTCTAGCCTTTAACCTCAGCCTCCGCCGCTAGACGCATCATAACAACAACAACAATGGCGAACTATTACTACTTGTTTGTAAACAGCGCATGCTCCATGGCTTCTCTTCCGGTTTTAGTGTATTGGTGTGGCGGCGTCACAGCGCCACATACAGGCCTGGCATATGTACTACAGCGTTTTGGGTTGTTTCAGTGAATCGGTGTGGACGCAGATATTTCTGGAAACGACACCGTGTTCACAAACATTTTTTCTGAAACAACATCGGATTGGGTGAGGCCGCGTATTCGTGAGGACAGGCCCTAACTTACAAAAAGATAAATAGGTAGAATCTAGTCTGTTGTGGTAACTTCTCCCAGTTTTCTGTCTTGACACTAAAGTCTACTTTTCTTCCCTAGGTTGTGTCTTGGATCATCACCATCTGGATATTTGGATCACTAACAATCTTCCTGCTGGCTCGTGTTCTTGGTGGTGAGGTAAGTGCCGCTGACACCTAGTCATCCTTAGCAGCCAGTCAATATACAGTAAGACATGACTCCAACTTGTTCTTGTAGAAACATTTTCTTACGGAGTCCTGTTGTTCTTTTGAGCAGGTTTCCTTCGGCCAGGTTCTGGGAGTGATTGGATATTCCCTTCTTCCCCTCATCGTTATAGCTCCACTGCTCTTAGTGATTGGAGGGTTTGAGGTGGTTTCTACACTAATCAAAGTGAGTCAAGGACCACACATTAATAGTCTTTTTATTTTTCATGTTGTGTAAAAATTCAACTTTAAATGTATAATGTGTGTGATAACAGTTGGAAGGAGAGAGAATCTAATTCCTGCCTGTAAAGTCACAATGTGTGATGTTTATCTATTGTTTTCTGCGCTCAGGTAGTGTGCATTAACTCTTCAAAAAAGCACCAGTTTTATCACGATAACTCAAGGGCTGCCCCCGAAAAGTAGATAATTCCAATCATCAGTCGAGAAGACATTCTGTCAGTCAAACCTCTGCACTTAAGTTTATTGGACTGTCAGTGAACTCAGCTAAACTTCTTTTGAACCTGACACTGGTCCAACCTCCTCCACTGTGACTCTTTAGCTCAACAGCCCGGCAGGGGAGTTGCCTGGAGTACACTGGGATTTTATAACTGAACTTTGGACAGGACAATCGCTTTTATGGTGTGGGTCTTGCGGGGTGAAATAAACAGATTTTGCTATAAATAATGCAATAAACAGATAAAAGGATGCCTAAATAACTACATCATGATGGTGAATTGTAAAAAGTCTGAATTCATACTAAGACGACAAACAACTTTTAAAATGCTTGTTTTTGGTTGATCAGGGCTTAGTTCATAGTAAAGTAAAACCGATAGCTGGAATTCAGAGCAAGATATAGATCTTTCACAATAACTAATAACTAAAATAATCAATAAATATTGATGAATAAATGTTAACTTATTGTCTCCTCTGATCTTTCAGCTCTTTGGCGTGTTCTGGGCTGCTTACAGTGCTGCTTCGCTGCTCGTCGGAGATGAATTTAAAACAAAGAAGCCCCTCCTCATATATCCCATTTTCCTTTTGTATATCTACTTCCTATCACTATATACTGGTGTGTGACTGGATGAAGTGATACTGTGGACCTTTTCATGAACAGTGACCCTTGAGCATGGTGTGGGGGGTGGGGGGGGGAACCAGGATTTTTTTTAAAAGATGTTTATTTCTTTTTTAACTCTGTTCTAGACAGTGGGATGTTGGGAATATACATCAATGTATATAGTTTTGTCTCTTATGTCGTTGGTCAATAAAATGCATTGTGCTTTTACAGCTTAAAATTGGGTATGCAGACTTCTCGTTCAGCAGTGCAATACAGTCCCCATAGTTCTGTATTTACTAGTAGTACATGAAGTAGGAAGTAGTCATAGGGTTGTATATTAATTTGAGGTTGTTGTTTTTTTTACACTTTGTCACACAAAAGAATGTGGTGCCAAATATTTGTGTGTGTGTATATGTTCAAGGAAGAATCTGAGAAAAAAGACAGCACCGCACAGAAAGGAGATTGTCAGTGTTATGCACTGTAATGTTCTATGACAAGTGTCCATTTATGCTTTTCATTTTTCACACTTGTTTTCTTAATTTATGGATTTCAGCAGCAGAAGCAGGTCAACTAAATCATTGTCTACTAAGTGTGGTGCCTTGTTTTTCTATCCATGTCCTGGTTGTCAACTGTTTAATACAGGAATATAATTATTTGATCAATAATTACAGTAAGTGAATAGTTATTTGTCAGTTAAACATCTGGTATTACCTGACTGATTGCTGTCTTATATACAGTATACACAGCTGGTCACAGTAATATATTGAACATTGCTGTATATTGCAACCACTGTTGGGCAGTAACTTATTACTAGTAATAATATTAAAGTAATACGATAACTTTCCCCAGTAACAAGTACTGTAACTAGTTACTACTAATCTTCAGTAATAGTAATACAATTAAAGCTGCAAGCAGCGTTAGACAGGACCTCGCACTCCACGCAACTCGGGGCGCGCTGCGACCGCGTCACGTGCGGACCACAACGTGAAAATTTCATGTAAATCAGCTCAGAATTGCCACGCAGTGCTTACTTTCTGTTGCCAGTAGGTGGCGCTATCACTATGTCTGAATATTGTCATGTAGACGTGTTCAAGGCGGGACTGTTATCAAACACTTGAAGTTTCAATGAGATTGGACCACGTACAAAATTCCTGTAGGGGGCACTACACACACGACAAACACGATTTTTGGTATGTGAGCTACAGGCACCACTCTACATGTGCCCTGTGAATTTCATATTCATAACTATTACGGTGTCCACACAGTGATATACCCTGCCACCAGAGCGCCACCTAGTGGCGGATTGTTGACACGTTTTTTAGCAAGCCTCAGGGAGCCATGCTCAAGCATCGTACCAAGTTTCGTTTTCATCACACGTGCCGATGCGGAGATATAAACTTCTTCATTTTAAAGAGCGCCACCTTGTGGCAATGGCTTGAAATTGGGCACGATGCCTAAGGAAGACATGGGGAACTATGGACCCAAGTTTGGTGTCAATCGAACATACCAAGGTGGAGAAATGGTCCACTTCCTTTCTTGACGAAAAATTTACAGGAAGTGCTGATTTTATAACGTGCTTATTTTTTGAATTAACAAAATTCTTTGAATTACTTATTTATAAGAATGGTCCCCAGCTACGTGAAAAATGTTGTGTGAATCGGACAAAGCGCATTGGAGGAACACGAAAAAGTTGTTTATGGACATTTCGCGCTCTAGCGGAGATAAATTATAGGTGGAAGTGGGCCTATATGGGGAGATTCAGCTCCATTCATCGAACATGTGGATACAAGGTTTTTGAATATGCGACAAACGATGCAGGAGTTATTAGCCTAAACGCACTTTTCATGATAGTAGCGCCACCTTGTGGCCGACCCGAAAGCACCGCATAGAATATCAAATTTTTCACCACGCCTGACCACTTTGCCAAATAAAATTGAGTTTTCGTATATGTTCAGGGGGGCAAAAACGCAGACAAAGGCGCTAAAAATAATAATAGGTAAGAATAATAAGAAACATAACAAATACAATAGGGACCTCCAGTGGTCGCTAATTACCCCCAAAAAATTATGAGTTACAACCTTGCTATTGTCACTCCCTACTGATTTGAAATCCAACAATCCAATCACATCTTTGGATTCATTTTTGTTAGTCTGAATTTTGGGGACAAGTACAATTGTGGGGGGGAAATAGCAGAAAAGTATTAAAACTAGCAGTGTTATTTAATTAATTACTGTTGGCAGGGAATAGTGAGTAATAAGTTATAACATAACTTTAAAACGAGTAATAAATGTTTTGAGTAACTAGCCCAACACTGATTGTAACATCCTTCAGATCGTCTCTATAGGTTGGATTTACTCGCAGTATTACATTCAAAATACTAGTTTACAGTTATAAGGTCACAAATAGCAGTGTCCCAATTCTATAATACATCACTTTACAGATGCTATGTGTGTAATGTTGTCACACTGTGAAAGTTAAGCATACCAAAAATTGCACACAGAACGAGACTTACGAGTGCACAGTCATGCTTGTGGCTCTGTGATGTACGGAATGCTCACATTGGCATGCTAAGATGCTAAAGCAGGTGCACTGTTTACCATGTTCACCATGATAGTGTAGCTTGCTAAAATTAGCTAATTAGCACTTAACATAATGTGCAGCAGAGGCTGATGGCAATGTCATTAGTTTTACAGGTATTTTATCATAAACCAAAGTGTTGGACAAAGTAAAAATTTGACCTGATGGTGGCAGTGAGAAGATTGATTACGCTGGTTCTGATGGGGAACATGAGTGTCTGTACCAAATTTGATGGAACTCCATCTAACAGATGTTGAGACATTTTACTCAAAACAACATGCCATCCAAAGTCAACAGGGCACATCCTCTCATGACTGTCCGTACCACATTGTGTTCCAATCTGTCCAGCAGATGTTCAGAACCAAATTTCATCTGAATCTAAACATCACAAGATATTTCACTAAAGGCCTGCCCTTGTGAAACTGGTGTCTTATAGTAGATAAAAAGTTAAAGACATATCTTGTAAAGCTTACAGTGGTATACGTTTTAACAGCTTTTGTGTTTGTACATTCAGATACAGAAGAAATGTATTGTTTGGAATTGACAAAAGTTGGTTAAAAATTTAGATTTGTGAAAATAGAATTTGGTCAAAATAATAAACAAATTAATCGAATAGAACTGTGAACAGATTCCTGTCATATTCAGTAAATACAAACATTGTAACATATAGTGAGGATAGGTACGAGGTCTCCACAAAACATAACAAGTACAACTTCAATGTCTTTATTGAGTTTCTGCAAATATCGATTAGTTGGGTAAAGCCTGGGAATCATTTGAAAGGAAATCTGTGTTCTAATGGCTGGTTAATGCTGTCCATGACTTTATGCCAGTGACAGCCTTTAAACTCTGTTCAGTGGGATTTATATACAAACCTGCAAACTCCCAATGACCAGTAACCATGCGTTTCTGTCATTATCAGCCAAACTATCAATAAGATGTTCCACCATACAGCTGGATTTTAGAGCCTCCCGCACACTTACAAAAATCAGGTATATAGGCAGCATATGGGCACTTCATATGTATATGTGTATATACTGTATATACATATACACAAACACGAGTTGCCTCAATCATCCAATCAGAGGACCACAGTGATTAGTTTAACAGATGATCACCTTACAAGAGTTTAGACAGTAATTCTGATTGTGACAACAAAAAACTATATACAGAGAATTGTATAAATAGCTCATCTCTGATCAATATTCTATCCAGTACATCCCAAACCAGCTCAATGTGGATTAGGTCTGGTGGCTGTGCTGGCCACTTCATGTTTTCAAGCTTACCATCTTGTTCTTTTGGTTTTGGGTCATTATCTTGCTCTAGGATGAACCCCGACCAACTAGGCTCATACCAGAGGGTACTGCATGGCACTGAAGAATGCTGTGGTAGCCGTTTCGGTACAGGGTGCCTATCACTCTGTACAAGTCACCGACCCTGGATCCAGCAAAACAGCCCCAGACCATCATGCTTCCTCCTCCATGTTTGATAGGTGATGACACACACTGAGGAACCATCTTTTCGCCTAATCAGCGGCGTACGAAAATCCTGCGTGAAGATTTAAAAGTTTTGATTCACCAGTCCACCTTCCAGTCTTCAGTGGTGTTTGGCAGTGTTTCATGGCCCAGGCAAGCCTCTTTTTCCTCATTCTGACGTCTTAGCAATGGATTTCTTGCTGCAACTCTACCTGTCAAACCTACAGCTCGATGTCTTCTCTTTACAGTTGAAACTGTTGAAGTTTGACGAGCGCCCGGTTAGCTCAGTCGGTAGAGCTGGCGACCCATATACGGAGTTGCTGCAGCGGCCTGGGTTTGAATCCGACCTGCGGCCCTTTGCTGCGTGTCGTTCCCTCTCTCTGCCCCCCTTTCCTCTCTATCTTCTGCTGTCCCTATCTAATACAGGCATGAAAAGGCCAAAAAAATTACTTAAAAAAAAAAAAAAAAAAGCTGTGTTTGAAGCTGTTGTCCTGTGAGCTGCCTATCATGCAAGCTGTTGACTCTCAGAAACCTGAGTAAACCTGTAAACCTTTTTCCTCCCCCCATGAGTTTGTTTCATTAATTCTAATCGCAGCAACACGCAGGCCAACGTGCAGGAGGCACAGCGCACGCGACCGACCAGATACTGTGTGTGGAGCGGACTAACCTGGACTCCTTAGTTATTGTCCTTGGTGACTTTAACAGAGGAAACCTCAGCCACGAACTTCCAAAATACAAACAGTTTATTAAATGCCTGACCAGAGAGGAGAACACACTGGATCACTGTTACACTACAGTCAGCAGAGCCATACTGGGCCTCTCTGACCACATCATGGTCCACCTGATTCCTTCATACAGGCAGAAATTAAAGCTCTGTAAACCTTTTGTGAGGACCTCAAAGCAGTGGACTAGTGAAGCTGCGGAGGATCTCCAGGCGTGTTTGGACTCTACTGACTGGGATGTGTTCAGGACTGCTACTGAAAGTCTGGACGAAGACAGAGACTGTAACGTCATGCATCAGCTTTTGTGAGGACTGCTGTATTCCATCACGCACCAGGGTGAGTTATAACAATGACAAACCCTGGTTCACAGCCAAACTCAGACAGTTATGGTTGCAGAAGGAGCAAGCCCTACAGGAGTGGGGACAGGGACAGGTTTAAGGAGTCAAAGTACAAGTTTAGCCAAGCGGTGAGAGAAACTTCATCAGTTCTCAACCAATGACTCTGGTTCTGTCTTAGGATAACCAACTACAAACCTAAAGGCCAGGACACACCAACCTGACGGCCGACCGTCGGCAGAAAAGCAGTCGGACTGATCAGTCAGCTCCCATCTCCCCGAGTCGGTCAAAAAAGTGCCTCCGGACACACCAAACCGACGCCGACTGGAGCGTACGTTCTGCGCATGCGTGAGGCGTAATACGTCCCCATAACAGCAGGCTGCGCTAATCTGTGTGGTCAGCCAAAAAAAATGAAAACCGGAAATGACGGATCTCTCTAGACCTAGTAAACACAGAGCACGCTGTCGTCTGTCATTGTTTTCA